TCGGGCTTGTTGCTGGCTTAAAAATCTCATGGTTTTTAAGGCAATCTCAGTGCCATGGCAGGTTCTACCCGCATGGGCTGGGTTTGCTGGGGGGCACTAGCTCCCTTCTGTGGCTGGCTTTACAAAGAGGAAGTTTAACTCAAACTAAAGCATCCAGCCCTCCAGCTAGTCCTTCCTGTCTCTACCAGGCCTTCGTCATCCTCACCGCTGATTTCAGCCCAGCTGCAGCCTCCGTCTGCAGTTGTCCCGCTAGGAACTACAGACTCACCTGTTTATCCTCTAGCAACTGACTGAGGTCCTGACTTCGGGCATGCCTGGCTACTAAACCAGGTCCAAGGACAGCTGTGCTCAGGTCCCGGAGCCAGCCTTAGAACAGGATTGGTTGAGTGGCTAAGGAGCAGTTCTGCAGACAAGGACCTGGGGATTACAGTGGATGAGAAGCTGGATAGGAGTCAGCAGTGGGCCCTCGTTGCCAAGAAGGCCAATGGCAGATTGGGCTGCATTAGTAGGAGCGTTGCCGGCAGATGGAGGGAAGTGATTATTCTCCTCTATTCGGCACTGGTGAGGCCACATCTGGAGTACTGCGTCCAGTTTTGGGACCCCTGCTACAGAAGGGATGTGGACAAATTGGAGAAAGTTCACTGGGGGCAATGAAAATGATTAGGGGGCTGGGGCACATGACTTATGGGGAGAGGCTGAGGGAACTGGGCTTCTTTAGTCTGCAGAAGAGAAGAGTGAGGGGGGATTTGATAGCAGCCTTCAACTACCTGAAGGGGGGTTCCAAAGAGGATGGAGCTCGGCTGTTCTCAGTGGTGGCAGATGACAGAACAAGGAGCGATGGTCTCAAGTTGCAGTGGGGAAGATCTAGGTTGGATATTAGGAAAAACTATTTCACTAGGAGGGTGGTGGGTTCCAGAAGCACTGGAATGGGTTCCCTAGGGACGTGGTGGGATCTCCATCCTTAGAGTTTTTAAGGCCCGGCTTGACAAAGCCCTGGCTGGGATGATTTAGTTGGGGATTGGTCCTGCTTTGAGCAGAGGGCTGGACTAGATGACCTCCTGAGGTCCCTTCCAACCCTGATATTCTATGATTCTATGAAGAAAAGGAGGACTAGTGGCACCTTAGAGACTAACCAATTTATTTGAGCATAAGCTTTCATGAGCTACAGCTCACTTCATCGGATGTAGTTCACGAAAGCTCATGCTCAAATAAATTGGTTAGTCTCTAAGGTGCCACAAGTCCTCCTTTTCTTTTTGTGAATACAGACTAACACGGCTGCTACTCTGAAACCTATGATTCTATGAGTGACCTTCAGGTTGGCCCAGTGGTTAGGGCACACGCCTGCTTTTCAAGTGGTGCCATTCCCTGCTTTGCTGCAGAGTTGGGCAAGTCACTTGGCCGCTCTGTGCCTCGGTTTCCCCCATCTGCACAAAGTGGGTGATCGCCCTGCCCTGCCTCACAGAGGGGTTGGGAGGATCCGGCCATTAACAATCACGAGGTACTCAGATACTAGGGTTTAGAAGAGGTGCAGCAGATATAAGAGACAATGGCCCGGTGACCCTCTGCGTCGCTCAGACGTTTGCCTGACGTCCCCTATCCTCGGCTGTGCTGTAGGATATGGAGTCGTAAGTGCTTAGCTGGCCTTGCTGGGTCGCAGCAGGTCTTAGCTGGGCCCTGTCGATCCAGGAGCCTGGCCCATGAAGCACTGGACTGAGGACTCCCAAAATAGTTCTGCCTGTCTTTCACACAGGATCTGTGGCTGAATACGGCAGCATTTAACAGCTCACCCCCGCCCACACGCACACACATCCCCGTCGGCCTCTTGCTCATTACTGGGCTCCCTGGGCCCATCCCATCCATCACCCCCAACGCGCCTCCTAAAGTGCCTGATGCAATATTCATGGCGGGTGGCTGCTCGGACCAGGCTTGAGTGAAGTGAAGTGACGGTTCTCATGCATTATTGGTTTCCTGAGCTGTGAACGGCTATCGACGCCCGACCTGAAGCCGGGCTGCGGTTACTCCCTTGGAGCGGGTGTGTCAGGCTGCAGTTGCGTGGGGTGTGGAGGGAGAGGGTGGTAGCCCTTTAAATAGTCTGCAGGCCCTCTGCCGGAGCTCACCAGGTTCTGTGTTTTCAAAGCTAGCCGGAGTAGCAGCCTTGGTAGCAAGGTCGGGCACAAGTCAATGTCCAGTACGGGCAGTGGGCGGGCAAGCTTCAGCGCTCTGCCCCCCGGTGTGTTCATTTTACCTGCTCTTCAGCGGCTGAGCTCATAACTGGGGTAGGCCTGCTAGGCCCCATGTTCTGACAACTCCCCTCCGCCCTGCCCTAGACACCAGCCTCTCTGGTCCAGTCAGCCACTGGCAGCTCTACCGAGGTGGACAAGGGAAGGGCAGGGGGTGAAATAGATGAACCATCCACACAGCTGGCACTAACATAGACCCCCGCCCACTGGGACTTAGCCTGACCCACCCCTGCACCCCATCCAACCAGCTCCTCACTTGGTCACTCCAGCATGGGGCTGTATTTGAACCACTGGCTTCGAGGTGAAAGGTTCCGCCTCCCACTTATGATTAATAATAGTAACTCGTATTATTAATTGTATTGTATTAGCACCTGGTAGCCACAATCACAGACCAGGATCCCACTGTGTTAGGTGCTGTACATTGTTATTGCTACTAGGTGTATTACAGTAGCAACCCCGCACTGCAGTCACGGACCAGCACCCTGTTGCGCTAAGGGCTGTCCAAACACAGATCAATAAGAGATTGTAAATTCTGTGGGGTCTTTTCGTTCTGTGTTCCTACAGCACCAAGCGCAATGGGGTCTGTTTCTCCCCACTGCCCCTGCTGGCTGCCAAGAAGATGGCAGGGATCTTAAAGCTTCAGCCATCCAGGGATTGTTAATGAAAACAGAAGATTTGTTTAAAATGAACGTGCGCAAGGCTTTTACTACATGCAATCAAATCCCTTCACGTTAATGTTTGTTGGACTCGTTGGCCAGGCGCCCAGTTCTGTCTGGGTCTCTGGCATGGATTCTGGCTTTGCAAAAATACCCTGGGGGTTTAACATTGTGATGGTGTTGAGTGAACCGTCTGCAGAGAGGACCGTTTTTTTTTTCTTCTTCTTTGCAACAGCTGTAATTTTGTGGCCATCCCCAGAAAGAGGCAATGGGCCTGAGTCTCAGTCACTCAGTCCCTATGCTCATGGAAGCGTTGCAATGGTTTTAAGCCATCTTTGTGTCCCCCGTACTCTGGAGCCTTTTCCAGCTAGGTGTATTTTAGAGCGGCCTCAGAGTTGCTCTAACTTGCGCGCTGCTACCTGTGGCCCCTGGGAAGGAGAGAATAGCCACGCTGAAATGCCTCCCCTTATGCCAGTTCCACATTGGCCAGAGAGACCCCTGCACTGGGGTCCTGTCCATCCCCTTTAAGGCCCCTTTACGCTGCCAGAGCAGAGACCTTGGAGGGTTGGGCCCACCAACTCAATGCCAGCTGGGGAAGCTGCTATGCAGGGGAATTCCCTGTGGGGGACATTGAATATGGGGTAGGAGGAAGGGGGTGTTGGTCACAGTTTTGTGGGCCGTCTACCTGCGATTTGGGTTGTAGGTTCAGGCCAGGTTGTCTCTGAACTGGTTGTCCCATCCCCAGTTACTTCTGTAGCCTGGAGCCCACTGTGCCCACAAACTGAACCCCAGCTGAGAGCTGCCCTGTCCTGGCGGGGTTAGATGGGTTTTCCATTCATTCTAAACAAGGGATTTAGACACATTTTCCATGTGTCAACCCAGTGTCGCCGCAGCCAGCGTTCCTCCCAAAGTCCCTTTCTGAGGACCCCGAAGGGGGAGCGATGTGTGGAAGAGTTGTTATGAAGAGTTGGATGGGTGTTCTTTTATCCCCCAGTTAGGCCTAATGTCTCACACAAGTTCTGGTCCAGTCTTACACAGCTCTGGCTCAACGGGCATGATCTGAACTCAGTCCTTGAGTTATGTCAGGAGACCTGTTTGTTTGGACAAATTCAGTCTCTGTCTGTCTCACTTCTGCCCCTTTGCCCACCCGTGGTTCTTGTTTTAGGTCATCCTGACATCTTCTGAGCTCCCGTTCACTCCCTGCAGCTGAGCTGACAATTAGGGGAAACTCATAGGCCCGGCTATGGCAGCAGAGTGTGAGTTGTTGGGGCAGGGCCCGGTTCTCGCTGGGTGTCCATGCGGCGCCCAGCACCCCGGGGTCCTGAGCCCAGTTGCAGGCTTGTGTGATATAAGTTTGCACTGGTGTAAATGACTGCACACGGTGCAGGGCAAAGGAGACTCATCCCCGGAGGAGGGAGGAAGGAGACTGGGACATGATCTAATGCCGCGGGCGAGTCTCCTTTGCCCTGCACCTTATGCAGTCATTTACCCCAGTTCAAACTTATATCCCATATATTCCCCCATCGGCAACTGCGAGGTTCTGACCCCTTCTTCTGAAGCAGCTGGTACTGGCCCCTGTGGGAGGTGGGATAGCCGGCTAGCTGGACCTTGGTTCTGATCCAACCAGGCAGTCCCTATGAGCCCATGAGGTTGGTCTTGTGGTTAAGGAAACCTGGATCAGGGCCGGATGAAATTCCCATCCCCTGCCAGGGGATCAGGCGTGCCCTGCTGGGACAGACACCCTCCTCCTTCAGGGCAAGCGCCAAATGGGGGTCAGGAGGAAACTTCCCGTGGGGCGGCTTATCCCTTTGCTGCAGGATTTCTTAGCAGCTGGGAAGCTGGACAAGCCCCTGCGCTAATCCAGTCAGGCAGGTCCCCCCCGAGTTGAGCTTGTGGCTGAGGATCTGGAGTGTGGCCGGGGGCTCCAAGTAGCATGTGGGAAGCTTGCCAGGGCTGGGGGTAGCCGGAGGATTCCAGTCTCCGGGGTTATTGGCTGGGCTGGTTCCCTGGCTCTAAACCCACCCCACCCGCCCAGCTTCAGTGCCTCTGGGCAGCCGCTCCCCACCTCTCTGATCGCGTCTCCTCTTCTCTCCTTCTGCCGCAGCCTGCAAAAGGAAAGAGCAAGAGCAAGGCAAAGCCGACAGAAACCACGTCCCTAAGCGGCACCGGCTGGTCTTCACGGACATCCAGCGCCGCACGCTTCATGCCATCTTCCATGAGAACCAGCGGCCTTCCAAGGACCTGCAGGTCACCATCGCCCAGCAGCTGGGCCTGGAGCTCTCCACCGTCAGTAACTTCTTCATGAATGCACGGCGCCGCAGCCTGGACAAGTGGATGGAAGAGGGGCGCCCCCCATCCTCGGGCACCCACGCCTCTTCTGCCATCACTTGCACCAAAGCATGAGGGGAAGCCAGGGTGCTGGACAGGGAGCACCACGCCAGGCTGGTGTCAATTGGGTGGGGTTTGATAGGGTGGGTTGTTTTTAATTTCTCCTCTTCGGTGGTTTCTTTCCCCTTCCCCTGCCCGAGTTTTTTTTCAGCTGTTTCAACAGAACCCACATGGCCCAGATCCTCAGCTAACATAAATCAGCTCCTTTGCATTGAGTGGGGGCTTGCTGATTTACCCCAGCTGGGGATCGGAGCTTAAATAATCACAGGCAAGATCCTCAGCTGGGATAAATGGGGCCACGCTGATTGGCACCGGCTGGGAAGCTGGGCCCCCCCTCTCCGGTTCCAATAACACTGCCTGGGAGGCAGGGGAAGCCCATGGCTGAAGATTTGGGTGCCTGGGGGAGGTCGTGGCTCTTTAAAGAGCATTTGTTTCCTCTTGACGATTGACCCCATGGTTGTTTCCTTTTTCTGGAAAGCGGCGCTGCCAGAGGTGAGAAGCAGAGCCAGGAGTCCTGGGTCCTATTTGTGTCCCTGAGAGGGGTGGGGTAGTGGGGAGAGTTATCTGGGAGCCAGGACTCCTGGATTTGGTTCTTGGCTCTGAGAGGGGAGTGATGTCTAATGGTTAGAACGATAGCCTAGAAGCCAGGACTCCTGGGTTCTGTCCTTGGCTCTGGGAGGGAAAATGCAATCTAATGGATAGAGCAGTTGACTGGGCGCCAGGACTCCTGGGTTCTACATGTGGCTCTGACAAGGTTTCTAGAAATATCACCAGAAGCTGATAAATCAGGAGCCCTGGGTTTTGTTCCTGACTCTGCCACTGACTTGGTGTGTGACCTTGGGGCACATCGCCGCCCTGTCCCGTGCCTCAGTTTCCCCACCTGTCGGAGTCCTTACAATTGCCCTACCTCTCTGGGGTGCCAGAACGCTGAATGAGCCAGTGTCTGTCAAGTGTTGTGAGAGGAAAGGTGCTCTGGAGATCCCTCTCCGGGATATGATGATTGGTTTGGGTGGAGGTTTGAGGGGCAGAAGTCCCAAGGCGAATGGGACATTTCCCCAGCCTGGCTCCCCCTTTCTTGCTGACTGGCAGTAAAGTCAATCCATCAAAATTATCTCTGGCAACTTAATTAAGGGTTTATCTACAGGTGAGGTACTCCAGGATATCTATTCTGCTTTAAATTCATGCTCTACCTTAATCTGGATTAATTTTCCTGTGTAGACAAACCTGCCTCCTCTTCTGGCCTAAGTGTCCAGACTGTGGGCCTGTTTCTGTGTGAGCTTGATTCCCCCATGCCCAGCACCTTGTACTGCTGTTTGCACAGGTGCAAAGTGCATTCAATGCACTACTATGCTCAAAGAGGGCAGCCTTGTCCACCCGCTCGGCACTGCCGTTTATGGCTGCGCAAGGTGCTGTACAAATGAAGCCTTGAACCCAGTGCGTGGTGGCAAAGAGCCGCAGCTTCTCTTAACACCAGTGGGAGGTGGGGATCCTTGGTGCCGCTCAGACTCAGGCGCCGGGGGGCAGGGGGGCTTTGGATTGCAAATCACGCCTCGTGGTGCGGCTCCCCGAGTGGCTTCTCCCCAGTGCATATGTGGAGGTTTTCCCAGGGAGCTTTTGGCATATCCATTTAAACAGCAAATCCCTGGGAATACGAGTGGTCCCTTCTGCAGGGGGGATGGCTGGCAGCCAAGTGCTCTGCACCCAGCTCCCCTGTGGTCCTGCCCCATGTGAACAGCCCAACAGCATCAGCTGACGGCTTGCTAAGATCTGTGACCTAAAGCCCAGATCCTCAGAGGCATATAGGCACCCAACTCCCATTGGTTTCCTGTGGGGAGTTAGGCACCTAAATGCCTTTGAGGATCTGAGTCTTGGCGCTTTGAAATCCCGAGTCCTGATTCTGTCGCCTCGGTGCCATCACTTCCACTCGCGCAAAGTGAGTGTGAAACACTCCCGTGCTGATGAGCTCGTGGTGCATGACTGGACAGAACAGTGAGGGGGGGTCTCACGCTCGCTTTGCACTGATGCAGCGACCGCATGGGGTGCGGAGCGATGGGGAAATCAACTCGGGGGGGAGTGGGGCAAGGAGCCCATTCTGCCTGCAGGGGGGAGCTTGACCCCATCTGGATAAGACAGACTGGCTTTGAGCTTTGCCCAAACGTGACCCAATCCCCCTCCTCCTCACAACCAGGATGCCTGGAAAAATCAAGGGGTCTTCTGTCTTGTGTCCCTTCCATGGATGCCTCTGCGGGGGTGGGTCCAGGGGGGTTTTCTGGGCCCATAAGAGCCATGGGCAATCTCTGCCTGGCCTAGAGGGGATTGGTGCGCTGGAGAGGCCTGGGCATGTAGATGAACCAAACCCATCCTGAAAGCTTCCCAGGTGCAGAGCTGCCAAGGATCTGGGCCGTAGCACCCATGCAAGTCAAGGGGGATCTGGGTTTTGGGGGCGCTTATAGGACTACGGACGCCCCCTCTCCCCTGCCCTGCTAGCGCCTGGGCTAAGGGCGTTAGTACAGCCTGGACAGACCAAAAAACCGGCTCCAACCCCCTCCGGGAGCCTTGGGAGGGTTCAGAGCTGGAGCTCGACTTCAGAGCTAAGACCTGGTGCTTTAAAAACCCTCCTTGGGTTGCCACCCAGCGTCTCCAACCTGCCCTCTCTGGAGTTGCCCACCACCACCCCCCGACGCCTCGCTGGGGTCCAGAGCGGCTCCCCTGCTTCGGGGAGGTGGCAACGCTTATATTTATTTGCCCCGCCCCTGTCTGTGCATGACAGACACCCTCCGGTTCCCTGTTCGGCGGAGCTCAAGGGGAAGCAGGATGCAGCAAGGAACAGAATCAGAGTCTGACTAAGGTGCCCATCACCCTGGTATCTGTGCGCCCTGTGGGTGGCGGGGCGAGGTGATGCCCTGAGACCATTTCGAAAGCGAATGGGATCCCCATGCTGGGAGTCGAGAGCACGCGCCTGGGCCAGGACTGAAATCCTGGCACAGCTGACATTCGTGCCCGACCTCCCCAGGGTCTGGGGGGGCTCTCACCCGAGATGTTTCTGACCAGCGTCACTATGCTGGTGGTGGACACGTTGTGCTGTTGTAAGACGGGGCTGGCGCCAGCATCACTGTGGCCGATCAGCTCCCAGGGTCCCTCCAGCGGGTGGGAGCCCCATTTTGCACAGGGCAGCATGGCTGCAGGAGGGGGTTGCAACCTGGGCCAATTTCCCTCGTCTACCCCAGCACCCGAGATCTTTGCTTGGCAGGCATGCTGCCTGCTTCTACAGGATGCGGGTGTGATTTAGGGCTTGTCTACACACACGCATGCTTGCACTCGATTAACTAGACCACCATATGGACATATTCTATCCAGTTCAACCTGGTTTAGCTGGCACATTGGGCCAGACTAAACCCGCTATAGGTCAGGCTTAAAGCCATGCAAGAGCGTCAACACACACGAAGGTGCACCAGTGTAAGTGAACTAGTTTCAAAATCGCACCTGCGGTTGACCCGTGAAGCTCTGATCTGAGTGGTTTGTCAAATGGTTGACGCTTCTGGGGTGAAATGAGTGAGCCAGAGGCAGCCTGTCCTTAATGATCTCCACTAACCCCTCCTGTGCGGCGCTGCCAGGCTTCCGTTTCTATGGAGCAGGGCTGATCCCAAGCTGGGACGACCGCGGTCACGAATCAATAACCAAGCGGCTGTGCTGAAAGGCCTCAGCCCTCCCGATGCAGTGTGCGCTCGTCCTGATAAATAGCACCGGCCAGAGCCTCTGCTTCTTTGGCGTGATGCTCATTCCCCCAGCTGAGACCCTGCCCCATCCATCTGCTACACCAGGGCCCTGGGAAATCCACCCCCAACTCTTGGAATCAGTTGCACATAAGAAAGGATCTGACCTAGAAAACCCTGCCCTGGCTTCTGCATGAACGCATCAGACCCGGCCGAGACTCTGCTGGCTCCATCTCCCCTTTGCTGTCTGAAAACCGTCGCCAGCGCAAACCGGAGCGACACCTCCCAGGAGTCTGGATCCCGCTGCCTGCCCAGCCACTCCTCACCCGAATTTGTCCTCATGTGTGTTGTGCGAATCTACTGTTTTGTCAAACTGTGGCAAATTTCTACCTCACTTTGTCTCTTGCACCAAAGATACCAAAGATTTTGCAAGGAGTCTCCGTGTGGGCGCCTATGTGGGCCTGCAGGCGTCTGTCGATAGCTATATTTATAGATATATATTTTTTGCATGGCTTGTCTCTTGAAGTGCTCTATGGTGTCGGACTGTCACCCTGCAGAGCTAGTGACCTAGATGCATCTGTCCTAACCCAGACAACCATTCTGTGACAGTCCCCACGGTCCCGGCTCTCTGGATGTTACCAATACAATGCACTTTAGTGAGACACCTGTAACGGTGATTAGGTTCCAGCCGTGGCCGAACAAGGGACAGACCGGTGCTGTTCTGCTAAGGAGTCACTCTCCGTAAAAGCAGGATGGTGGGGCCGGATCTGTGTTTAGTGGGGCTCCGGATTGGTTTACAAGGCTGTTGTGCAAAAAGATCCAAAGATTATTTTTCTGCTCGTTCCCGCCCCCCCTTAACTGAGCAAGAAACATCCTCGGGGCAAAGATATTTCCCCACAAGCTGTCAGTGCTGCAAACTCCTGCTGGGCTCTGAGAATCAAACTGGGTTCACTTTGAATTGGGAATCATCCCCAGCCACAAAACCTCTGCCCGCTAAAAATCCTGCTCTGGGCAGCTCTGCTGTCTCCATTGCATAGCATGCCCCCATGTCATTCCAGCCAGCGCACGCTTCCCTGGCTGCACAAGTGCCTAGGACCTTTGCTGGCTCCTACATCTGTGGGGGAGATTTGCAATGGGAACCTAGGAACTAACTGTATTCATGAGGCCCAAGCCAGGCTAGAACCAGGCTCCGTCCCCCACAGCCTGCAGGGCAATTAGGAACATTAAAAACATCCCTTTGCCCCTCAGTTCAGCTGCTATGAGCCTGAACGCACCCCGGGAGCAGAGCTACTGAGCAGGACCGCAACCCATTCTTGCAGTTGCGTCTCTGACTCCCCTGGGGACAGCCTCTCAACATTCCCGTCAGAACAAGGGGCAAACCCCAGACAGCTGGGTCCGGATCAGCGTCCCAGAGTCCTGGGACAGACCCAAACCCTCTGCTCTGCCTGTGAATGAAATCCGGGCCCCTTTGGGAGGTTTCTCAGGGGACTCTGTCTCCATTTAGGTGAGAAATACAGCAGGAGCCTTCCTAGTGGGCGTCCCTGGGTGGGTCACGAGCAAATGCAGAACCGCTGGATCTGAAAGCCTGAGCTGCCCCTGCCTGAATTAGAGAATGAAAGCTTAGTGAAAGCTTGAAATCAACGGGAGTTTTGCCAATGACTTTAGTGGGGCCAGGATTTTGCCCCAGATCCGTTGGCTCAGAGAGACTAGTGGGCTGCTGAAACTCTACACGCGGTCTGGCCACGGGGGCTGGGGCAGGGAGCTCCCGTTGGCTTGGGTTACACAAGCCCTTTGGGGGTGCTTTCATGTGGAACCAGGTGAGACAGCCGTCACCGCCAACACAGACAATCCCCCTGGAGCAGGAAACAATCCAGCACTTTGAAATGGTTCTGCTCAGGGGCTTTGATTGCGTTTCAGGCAGGGCTTTATTCTGCCCGAGTTACTTCACCACAAGCCGGGAAGGTCAAGACGGGGATCCCCAAGGATCAGAGCTGTTCGGGTCCAGGTTCCCGCTCACTTTAGTACCCTGATTTCCCTCTGGCCCTTTGACTCTCTGGTGGGGACGCTCAAAGGAGCTTTGAGGCATCTCATTGAATGGCAGTGTGAGCTGGGTGCCTAACTCCCTTAGACTCCACTGGAAATCCCAGTCTCTCTCCAGTAATCCCAGTTGCTGGGAAATGCTGGTGATTCTAAGGACACGAACCTCGTCCACTCCCCACTGGTGTCTCTCAAGCAGCGGCTTTGTCTGCAACTTGGGAGGCTAAAGGGCATCTCTTTTAACGTCCAGATTTACACTGGAATTGGCAACATCAAAGAGAGAAAGAAAAGACCTGGACAATTCACCCCCCAGGGCACAAAAGTGGGATTCTGAACCCATCCATCCCTAAACTTGTGATGATAGATACCATCATCCCAAGACCACCTACCTGCTGACTTTACCTCTAAGCCCTGCCTTTCGGTCTTGGTCAGGGGAACTGTTTCCCCTACACAGGACTGCTGGTGGGAGTATGGGGATAAAGGGAAAAGGCTGTGGAAGCTCTCTGTGCCCTCTTGTAAGTCAGGCATGGTAAGATTCTCACCCACTACTGCAGTCCAACTTTGAGAGGTGCCTCTGTCAGCCAGCCCCTGGCACATCTCTGCTGCAGAACTGGCAGAAGCCAGTCAGAGAGAACCACAGGGTCTGGCTGGGTCCAGCAGCCTCAGTCAAGAATCCCCTTTATATTCTCTGCAGCCCAGCCTGGCCTCTTCTCCACAGTGGGGAACTGGGAATTATCTAGCAGCAGCTCTGAGCATCATTTGTTCCTAGCCATGCGAGCACCCTGCCCTCTGTTCCTATCTGTGCACAATGCAAACAACTGCTGTGATACTCCTTCCTTCATTTCCCTGATGCCACGTTCTGGCTGTGGCAGGCTACACGGATTCATACAGAACGGTGGGCCTGATTCTCAGTTACATGCAGGCCTCTTTGTGCCACACTGGTAACATACAGGGGGCCTTAAGGTGGGTGGGAATGGGACTAGCCCCCTGAGCGTAGCTGCCCTGCCAAGGAGTCTCCTGGATCCGTGTGGCTGCTGCTGGGGGGGCGTCAGGTCCCTTTGATCGCTGTCCAGAACTGGGCCCTGTGCCATCCCACTGCAAACACATGGCCACCGTCCCCAAACCTACATCTGAATTCTGTTGCTGAATTCCTTTCTCTCTTTTTGGCCGACCAGCACCGATTCACAAAACACCCAACCAAGCAATGACCCCACCGGAAGCCACTCACAAATAATATGTGACGCTAAACTCGACCAGCCCTTT